TAAGCTGAAGGCAGAGGCTTTAACCCACTGAGCCACCCAGGTGCCCCCACAAAAGCATATTTTCAAAGCAGTTTTTATTGAGACATAATTGATAACATTTTATAAGTTTAAGTATACAATGTGTTAATTTGATACACCTATGTGTATCAATCCAATTGCCACCATTGCATTAGCTAAAACCTCCATTACATCACATAATTATCACTTTTTTTGAGTGAGACCATTTAAAATCTATCTAGTCCCTTAGCAATTTTCAAGTATACAATACTGTATTAACTATAATCACAGTGCTGTGCCTTAGACTCCAGAACATATTTATATTCTGAGTGTAGTTTTACTCTGACCAACAACTCCCCAGTTACCCACCTTCAGTGGGCCAGCTAGGCTGAATGAAGGAAGGCAAAAGAAAAGGCAGCTGCGAGCAGTTCCATTCCCAGAGAAAGTTCTTATGGAACCCTGCCCTTCTGGCACAAGCCCTACAACTAGTAAATAAACTCTCATATATGGCCCAGGTGCTTTTGAAACTGCTTCCATTATGCTGGGTCTCAGAGTAAGACTGTTGATGGGCCTTTTTAAAAAAATTTTTTTTTTAATTTTTTGTTTGTTTGACAGACAGAGATCACAAGTAGGTGGAGAGGCAGGCAGAGAGAGAGAAGGAAGCAGGCTCCCTGCCGAGCAGAGAGCCCGATTTGGAGCTCGATCCCAGGACCCTGGGATCATGACCCGAGCCGACCCCTGATGGGCCTTTTAAGAGCAGAGCAGTTTTGGTTTCCCAAGGCCTTCCACCTCTCCTAGAGTTAAGCCCTGCTGATTTTCAAAGCCAGACAAAATGGGGACTTAGTCTTCCCAATGCAGGGGTGGTACAGAATGCCCAGTGCAGGACTTGAATCCCTTGCTCCTCAGGAAGGACCTCCATACCTGTTATATGCCTTCTGTTTGTGAATCACTACCAAGTCCTTTTCAAACTGCTGGGGTTTTTTGGTTTTTGCTTTTTTCTGGGTCTCAGGGCAAACGAGACTGCTCATGAGCCCTCTAAGAAGGGAATCTCAGTTTCCTATAGAATTCTGGGACCTCTGGATGTCAAACTCATTGGTTTTGCAAGTCAAATATTCTCAGGCTTATCTCTCCAGTACAGATCCCAGTTTCTAGGGTGCCTAATGTGAGGCACCAACCCCTCTCTCCTCTGGGAGAAGCACTGCCTGGTGAAATTCCCTCTCTATTGAATGTTGCCACTCTGGGGATGGGGTTTTTTGTAGGACTGTGTCTCTGCTTCTCCTACCCATCTTGGTGTGGTCCTTATATTCTTTGTTATGGGCGCCAATTCTTATAGTTTTCAGATCTTTTGCAAAGGGAAATTATCCACATGTAGCCATAGATTTAGTGTGTTTAAGAGACGGGTAAGTTCAGGATTTTCCTATGCTGCTATCTTTCCAGATCCTCCAATTAACGGTAGTTTCTAACATATTTTCCAAATGGTACTTTTTTTTTCTTTTTATCTTTTTTGTTTGTTTGTTTTAAGTAATCTCTACACTCAATGTGGGGCTCGCACTCACAACCCTGAGATCAAGGTGCATGCTCAGGACACCTGGGTGCTTCAGTTGGTTACATATATTGGAATTCTCAAATTCATACAATGAGAAAGCAGAATAACCACAGATGTAGGGCAAGGTGAAATGGGGAATTACTGTTAAATGGGTCCAGAGTTTCAGTTTGAGATGACGAAAAAATTCTAGATAAATCGTGGTGATGGTCACACAACACTGTGAATATAGATAATGAAATTAAAAATGGTTAAAATGGTAAATCTGATGCTACATATAGCTTACCACAATAAAAAAAAAATGCTAGACTATAATGAGGATACCATACTGAAAACAAAACAAAAATCAAAACTGAACACTGAACAGAATGGCACACATAAAGTGCTGGAAAGAAAAAAGTCAACCTAGAATTCTATATCCAATGAAAATATCCTTCATAAAGGAAGGCAAGGGGCGCCTGGGTGGCTCAGTGGGTTAAAGCCTCTGCCTTCAGCTCAGGTCATGATCCCAGAGTCCTGGGATTGAGCCCCACACCGGGCTCTCTGCTCAGTAGGGAGCCTGCCCCCGCCACCTGCCTCTGCCTACTTGTGATCTTTGTCTGTCAAATACATAAAATCTTTAAAAAAAAAAAAATCATACTTAATTTACATTAGCAGATTCAAGCAGTATATCTGGTCTTTACCTATACCTAATTATATATCCCAGAACATACTTGGGTTTGAAGGCAAACATTCCAAATTGTATTCTTTGTTATACACCTACATGATTCAAAACTGTATTTTTGTATTGTATCGTACTGTACTGTATTGTTATTAATTATTTTTTGTATAGGAACAGGAATTGGGAGATGAAAAAAAGGTTTTTTTCTTTACTTCTGTATTAGACTTTTTTTTAAAGATCATATTGTTCTTTGTAATTTAAATCAGCGAATTTTGAAGTTTTAAAACTTAAAGCTCATCAATTTAAAATTTTTTGAGATTTAAAATTATATCCTGCCCTCTTTCAAAAAGAACTCCAAATCTCACTTCTTAGGAAAACATTTTAATTTCTGCTCATTTCCCAATTTTTTAAGAGGATGGAAAAAAGATATAAAATTAAATGGCAAACTCTATGCCTGCATTCTAACAAGATAACTCACAATCATTTTAGAGAGTTTTTGCTATTGATCTTGAGCTCAGTATAAGCATGAAAATCGCAACAAGTTTTATTTATTCTTTATTTCAAAACTTGAGAATAATTATAAGTTCATCTCTTTGTAGCTTCTTACATGCCATAGCAAAGGCACAAAACTAACAATCTTTGAACACTAAAATCTCAGCACTTGGTATATTTATGATTTTAAAACATTCATGAAATTAGAATCTGTGGTAAAAGCATATGCTTTAGAAGAAGCATCGTATTGAGGACACACTGCCAATAGGTAGATTTTTCTGCTTTTGGATGCTTTGGAAGATAAGATTGTCTTCTTATTCTTTTTCTGGGATTAATATTACCCAAAAATACCATAAATTAATAAAAGTAAAATAACCTCAACTTGTTAATCAGCATTTAACCTGAACAGTATAAACAAAGTGACTCAGAGAAAGAAAAAACCTTCTTCTTTTTTTTTTTTTAAGATATTTTTTATTTATTTGACACAGAGAGAGAGAGAGAGAGGTCACAACTAGGCAGAGAGAGAGAGGAAGGGGAACTGGCTCCCTGCTGAGCAGAGCCCCCTCGATCCCAAGACCCTGGGATCATGACCTGAGCCAAAGGCAGAGGCTTTAACCCACTGAGCCACCCAGGTGCCCCAAGAAAAAATTTTCTTAAAGTAACTTCTTAAACATTCAAATCATCAAACAACCTCTCAAGGTACAGCTGCTGTCACCTTTGATGTTAGACTAAGCCAAAGACAATGCTATATGCACCTGCATGGGGTCCTCTAATTGCACTGCAGGAAAGCATCCCTGAAGAAATTACTAAGCATTTACTATTTATTACAGTGAAAGGACAAAAGGTGTATTTCCTATTCCTCCTTCCCTTGTTTTGCCTCCCTCTTTTCCTCCTTCTGTCTGTGTCCCATAGTCTAGATCTTTCTCTCCCTCTCTTCCTGTCCATTTTACCTGGAAATTTTTTAAAGCCATACACTTCTTTCTAAGATTCCAGTACCCACATCATCATCTCCAACTAGTATTAGTGTCTGTCTGTAGCTTCTTCCCACTCCAGTTTATTCCACTGTTGTTGCTATATTAATCTCTCTTCAAACCTGTGTGTGATCAGCCTCTTTCTTCAAAACCTTCAAAACTTAAAAATCGCAACTTCTTGGCATGGTATATAGGGATCTTTCATATCACAACTCCAACTTTTTTTTGGAAACTGTCTTTTCTGCTAGTACTCTATCTCCTTCACTTCCCATCTTCATATTATATCCAGTAATAACAGTTAACATTTACTGATAGCTTACTATGTACCAAGTACTTTCTCCATAAATGTTTTTTATTTACAAAGCTATGTGCCAGGCACTTTTTAAAGCATTTAATAAATAATAACTTGGGGCACCTGGCTTAGCTCAGTTGGTGGAGTATCCAACTCTTGTTCTCAGGATTGTGAAATGGAGCCCTACACTGGGTGAAAAGCCTACTTTAACATTAAATAAAATAAAACGCTATTTTAAAAAGCCCCTGGAGCACCTGGGTGGCTCAGTTGGTTAAGCATCTGCCTTCAGCTCAGGTCATGATCCCAGGCTCCTGGGATCAACCCATCATCGAGCTCCCTGATCAGTGGGAAGACTGCTTCTCCCCTCCTACCATTCCCCCTGCTTGTGCTCTCTCGCATTCTGTCAAATAAATAAAGTCTATAGGAAACAAAAAAGTAAATAAATAAATAACCCCAAATAATCACTCATTTACTCTTTATAACAACCCTTTGAGATAGGTGTTATCATCCCCATTTTACTATCTATTGACAGAAAGTAGATCAGTGGTTGCCTAGGGTTAGGAGGGATGGAGAAAGTGGGAAATAAGTGCTAAATGGCATGGAGTTTCTTTGTGGAGTGATGGAAATTTCTGGAATCAGATAGTGGTGATGGCTGCACAACTTTGTAAATATACTAAAAGCCAGTGAACTGTACATGCTAAATTGGTAAATTATGAAATTTATTTGTTTATTATATATCATTTATTTAAAAATTATTGAAATTATTAAATCGGTTTATTGTTGAAATAGTTCAGCAGAGGAGACAGGCAGACCTTGAAACAGAATACTTTCAATTTGTTGCTTTGACACAATAGCTGAATTCTTTGAAACATCCTATCTCATAGACAAATTATTATCAATGGCAAATGATTTGGGCAAGAAATTTTGGCACAAAGTTAAGCCAGAAAGCCATGCAATCCTTTGAAATAACAGAGACAACGAGAAAAACGAAAGCACATGCAGGAGACTAACTCTCCTAACTAACACTCTCCGACTAACACTAACCTCTTCCACAGGAGACCAGTACTTGCAGTGACTGCAGATGCTCCCAGGAAAGCCACTGTCATGAGTCGTCGCCTCATCTGGGTAGGCTGTGATCCCCCATGGTAACATCGAGAGCCGAGAGCCAGTTCTGCCAATGCAGAAAGGGAGTTAAGACGAAACATCCTGTGAATAAAAAGGAGAAATGTTACTCCTAACTAGTGGTAGCAACAGTGATGCTGAAATGATGAAGATGAAAGTATCAACGTCACCAATAATCACTACGGACTTACTCAATGGCAGATAGTAAACACTCTGCAATACCATATAGTATCCTATTTAATCCTCAGAACAGTTGTATGAGAAAAATATTACTTATAAACCTGATATATCAGTCAAAGTATAATTGGAAGACAAAAAAACCACATGATAATTTGAACAGGAAAAGTTTAACGTAAAGCAGTATTAATTTTAACAGGGGTAAAATACTAAGGGCTAAAGAGATAACATATATAGGGAGCAGCTACTATAGCAAGGGCTGATGCGGAACAACAGGAGAGGAATAAATCTGTGAAGGGGTCACTCTCAACAGGGCTGAGATACAGGTCTGTGGTGAGGACATGACCATGGATGTCTGAGAAATTTACCAGAGTGCCAGGCCAACAGAAGTCACTATAAAGTCATCTAGTAGGAGAACTCAGTATGCCATTGGAACTCAGGAAAGTATCCATGGGGAGATGTCAGAGTATGGAACTCACTGAAAAAACTGCGTTTGGGAGTACCGCCTTTAAAACTACCTAGGGATTGAGAGCCCCAAGGTGTCCCACATGACACAGGCCAATGTGTCTTAAAGTGCATACAAGAATCAGGAAGAAAAACTTCTTCCTTCTCTAGTCTCCCTTGAGCCCTTCTACTGACAAACCTTAACAAAAGGTGGCAAGAGAGAAATTTCCAGTATTACAGAAAGGACAATGAAATGGATTTAGAATTACAAAGCAACAGATTTATAAGTGGCACAACCATTGTAAACATGTGGAAACTGAGATACAGTGACTTGCTCTAGAGTATGCAGCTAGGCAGCAGATCCAGAAGCTAAAATAAATGGACTAACACCAGAACCCAGGTTTTTAACTAGGATACTTTGCTGTCCCCACCACCTTGTAATGCTGATACAATTTTGTTAAAATAATTTAATTTTTTTTGGGTTTTGTTTTGTTTTTAAAGATTTTATTCATTTATTTGGGAGAGAGAGAAAATGAGAGAGAGAGAGAGAGTATGAGAGGAGAGAAGTCAGTGGGAGAAGCAGACTCCTTGCCCAGCGGGGAGCCCGATGTGGGACTCGATCCCAGATCCCAGGACTCCAGGATCACGACCCAACCTGAAGGCAGTCACTCAACCAACTGAGCCACCCAGGTGCCCAGAGTAATTTAAGTTTTAATGAAATTTGTTTCATTCCGCAGGGCCTTGGAAGGCCTTCTACCCACTAAATTCTTTAGTTTCATACTTCTAATTTCACCTGTTCCTCTCACTGTACCCAGGTTTTTAACTAGGACACTTTGCTGCCCCCCTAACCTTGTAATGCTGATATGCTTTTTGTTAAAGTAATTTAACTTTTAATTAATTTTTTTTTCATTCCCAGGTTCTTGGAAGGCCTCCCACCCACTAAATTCTTTAGTTTCATACTTGTAACTTCACCTGTACCTCTCACTGTTTAACTCAGAAATACCTGTATTAGGTCACATTATTGTTCAAAAAACATTCACTCTCCCATTCCCTATCCCAAAGGCAAGTATTATTTTGCACACTCTTCATTTTGGATATGTATTTTGCCATTGACCTTCCTTTGACCAACAAAATGTGGGCCAGTTCCACAAAGCACTTTTAAGAAGTATTGCTATTAGCCTTCTTGTGCTCCTGCACTCTATGAAGAGAAGATCATGCCCCAGATGGACTTGATCCTTCAAGCTGGGTTCTCTAAGGAACAGATCTCAGCCTGGAGCCTGGCACTGTGAAGACCAGCTGAGCCAGCAGAGCGCAACCGACCTACAGAATGCTAGTGAGAAATAAAGGTTTCTGACTGTAAACCACAAAAATTGGGCGTTGTTTACTGCCACAGCAAAAGCTAACTAATTTAGCATATAAGAGAAGTACTGGGAAGTTCTCATTCAACAAAAATCTTTTAAGTTCATACTATTTATTAGACTTAAAAGGTCAAAAAGAATTTCACAATCTAATTAGGGAAGATATATATGAAACATTTTTTAGCAATAATCGCGCCTCGGATAAACCTCATTGGCTATGATACTGCCACTGCGCAAAGCTACATTTTTTAAATGATATGTTTTTAAGCTGGTATCTTGAAGAAGTATTGAAAGGATACCTTTAAACGGGTATAGATATTAGAATTAAAACATTTTTTTAAACAGCAGCGTAAGACTAGGTTAGTCAGCAAAGGCTTTTGTTTAGTTCTGAGACTCAGAATGGTAAACAATTTTGATCAAGTCACAGAAATTTCATGGACACCAAAAAAACGACAGGATCATTTCTGGCCTTTATACAGAGAATTGATAGAAAATGATATTCTTCCTCTAGACAGTATCTTGAGGACAGAGTAAAGTCTTCATTCTTTTATTCTACCAGGCAGACTAAAAGAGAAAGGGGCATTTCATCCTGGTTATAGGACTTTTTTTTGTTTTCAGATTTATTTATTTGATTGAGAGCGAGATCACAAGCAGGGGGGGGAGGGTAGAGGGAAAAGCAGGTTTCCCGCTGAGCAAGGAGCTGATGTGGGACTCAATCCCAGGACCCTGGGATCATGACCTGACCCAAAGGCTTAACCAACTAAACCACCCAGGCAACCTGGTTATATAACTTTTTTACAATGACAATTCATTCAAATCACTTGAAGTATTCATTCTCTTCCCCACTGACTGTCCCAAAGCACAGTTCACTGCTTCCTAATTTAAATTATCTTGCACCTTATATATATCTTCCTATGGCAATTAATATATATGTAAGTTTGTTTTCCCCACTTGGCTCTCAACCTCCTTTAAGGCCAAAATTATTTTTTTTCCTCATCATAAACATACAGTCTGGTACAGGGCCTGTTACATTATAGGTGTTTAAAATATCTGACTATGTAAAGTACTTTCACATGAAGGTAAAGGTACAAATCACACAGGTACTGGATCCTAACATTTAAGTATACTTCTAAGCCCCAATACACTAAGAAAAGTATGTCCTTTACCATTTGGGTTCAAATCAAGTTAGATTATTTAGCTGTTTCTTAAGATCACGGAACCAGTAATGAGCTTTTCTCTGGGACCCACCCCTATAATCTCCTAAGTAAACCTTTCCCATAGCCTTCTTCATTCAACCTAGGCCCAATTTCAAAGTTGAAGCTAAATCCTGCTTTTTTCCAAATTTATGGACAAAGTGGAAAAAGAATTATTTTTCTCTCCTATTTCCTATGACCTAAGCTGCAGCAATACAATTCTTATATCCTTCAACCCCAGAAATCATTTCATTTTACTGCACATATTCTAGCAAAATATAGCACCAAGGAGACTGTCCACTATATTTTCTTCCTGCCTGTCAACAACTGATACACTTCTAAAATAACATTTTCTAAACCCACAATGCTTCCAGATACATAGCACTTCTCTTGTCTATAATAAAAATGCATACTCTGGTTTCTCTTCAGATCAAATACATCTCTCCTTATAGTAAAAATGAGCACACCTAAAACATAAATCTGGAGAAAACATTATTCATCACTGACAACAGAAAGAAAAGAGTACTCAGAAGTTTCCAATTGTGAAAGGCAAGTAACCTAACCAGTTCAAAAGTTGGAACAGACAAGGAGTGTGTAAGACTGGAAGATAAATTCACGATTAATCAGATATTCTCCATAAATAGACATATGTCCAAATAATAGACATCTCATAAATAGAAATATGCTCATCAGTGTAATAAACACATTTTTCAGTAAGAATAAATAAATACACAAATGATCAAATAGGTAAGGCATCATCACTTGAGAAGGTCATCTGAATTCTGGACTGAGAATTCTGATCATATGTACAACAGGTAACTAGTACATACCTTAAATTGGAAAATACATGATCGAAGATTTTTTCTTAAAGAATAGCTATTTGCCAGTAGTGAACAGAATAAATTGCAAACAAACAAAAAAGAATAAATTGCAAACAACAAAGGCAGAGAAAGCTAAAAGGAGTAGTGAATATAGCCAGAAGGCAATTAGTAACCTAAGTACTGGATGCCTAGATGATAAATACAGAAACCAAAAATAAAGTGAAAATGTCTAAAGAGAGACAAAACCATCAGATATCACTGTCCAACACACATTAATATGTAGGCGTGAAGGAGATATGGAAGACAGAAAGAAGAAAGAGATTAAAATAATAACAACACTAAATAGCAGATAGTAGAAAGTGAAACAGAATAGGAATCCAATGATCCAATGACCTAGGCTCAACTCTAGTACTAAACAGCTGTGCACAAAGGAAGCTTATTCTTCCTTAAGGAAGAATTTGAGAAAACGAGAGAACTGCCTAATTGAGCTTTAGGGTTCCTTTTATCTCCTAATGCTCACTAACCGTGGTGAAAATCTATATGGTAGAGTTTAATCTATTTCATTTGAGGTTGAGGGGGGAGTAGGATTATATCATACAATCAAGATTTATTAGTGTTGAGAATCCATGTCTGTATGTTTTGGTGCTAGATTTTAAATTTTGAAAGTTCTGAATTCTACTAACAGTCTACTTACATTTTGATGTTGTAATTCAAATATTACTGTCTACATCTCATTTCATCACTGGTTTTAATCTCATTCCCCAAAGTGCACGTCAAAAGATATATCTAGGGGCAACTGGCTGGCTCAGTTGGTGGAGCATGCAACTCTTGATCTCAGGGTTATGAGTTTAAGCCCCACATATGGTGTAGACATTACTCAACAGTTGTTAAAATCTTTAAAAAAAAAAAAAGATGTATCTATTCATCTTCTCTAGTGCAATTTTCAGTTGACAAGCAAACAAAGAAAACAGTGAAAAAAGACTATTATAATTTAATTCCTAACTCTGTAGTGAAGAAAGAGTGTAACTAGTTCAATGTATTAATTTTTGATGCGAGACCATGTAAACAGATTTAAGGAGATCAGCTTTCCA